TTCTTCTCCTACAAAGGTTTATTTTTTGGTCTCAAAAATAAAATCCAAGCTTTAATCGACTCTGGCGTCATAACGGCAGAACAAGACAAATGAAAATGGAAAGCACTCCGAAGAGTATACGACTATAAACTGCTTCTCCATTCACTCCGAAGAGTATACGAGTATAAACTGCTTCTTAATCCTCTAATAGGTGCATGAAGATAAATTGTTCCTTGCATACTCCAATAGGTAAACGAGTCTAAACTATTTACTAATTTTAACAGGAAGTTCCTAGAGAATACTACACATGGTATTCTTAAAGATAACCCAAAACCAAAAATAATCAAGAACCTCCCACTGTGACTATTTAATTATTTCCAGGATGATTAACACCATCCCACTGTGATTTCTCAAGCACTGTTTCATTGAGATGAGATTAAATGACTTCATCCGGTTAATCTTCCCTCATGAAACCCCCATGGTATAATTGTGGAGTGTTTGGTCCCTCACTAATCAAATCAAATGACGGTAGGGTCCACTAAAGTTCTTTCTGGTTTGATTCACTCAAATTCCCATTGTGTCTGTGCACTCAACACTTCAATTGTTAGAGACCGGACGTAATACTTGAAATCTCAAACCCCTCGTGTTAAAGTCCTTACAACTTGACACCAGAAACTCTCACTATATTAACACAGTGATTTATACAAATTAGCACTCCCACTGTTATTTCTACCACCCCAATCCCATCTTGGTCAAACTATTAAATAGTTAGGACCACAACCAAAATTCCCTCTGGTTTCCTTTCATGAACGAAAGGTCCACAAATTGAATGATCAAACCTTTAAATAGTTAGGGTCTTTCCGATCCCATCTTGGTCAAACCTTTAAATAGTTAGGACCATAAGCCATAATCTCCTCTCAATTCTTTTCATGAACAAGATGTCCACTTTCAAATCGAGCGATCAAACTTCCTATAGTTAGGATCGTCTCAAACCTCCAACTCGGTCATACCTTCCTATAGTTAGGGCCACAACTAAAATCTCCTCTCGATTCCTTCCATGAATAAGAGGTCTACTTTCAAATCGAGCGATCAAACCTTCATATAGTTAGGATTGTCTCAAACCTTTCATTCGATCAAACATTTAAATAGTTGGGACCAAAACCAGAGTTCCCTTTTAATAAACGAAAGACCTCTACCCCCATCAGGCGATCAAACCTTTAAATAGTTAGGATCATCTCAATCTCCCCTCCGGTCAAACCTTTAAATAGTTAGGGCTAAGGTTGGAATTTTATTTTAATAAACGAGAAATCCTCATTCAGATTTAAAAATCAAACCTTTAAACAGTTAGGGTTATCAAAATCTGTTTGATTCTCAGAGTGGAAATCTCACTTTGAGTTTCTCTTTCAGCAGGCAGGAGATAGAATATAAAATTCTTCCTCTCCACCATCGGGTTCGTCTTTTTGCCCTAAGAGAAGACACAATCTTTTAACTTCAAAATCCATGCATTACACGCATGGAGAATTTTATCCGGAATTTTTAAGAAGGGATAAGTCAGCGTCTAACACGTATTGTCGGATAGTCTATTTCCATAAGAAAGACGAAGTCTACATATTCAATCTCGTAGCACTAAAAGAGTTAACTCTTTTAGCATAACGTTACATGTAGAATGGACTTAAACAATCTTCATGTTAGCCCGACTCAAACGGTAGTCGGTAAAGGCTCATTAAACCCGTTGATGACTGAGGGTTTGTCAAAAATTCTATAAAGGTAAGAGTTATTAACGCAATAGCTTTATTAGTTGGTCTCGTAACTTGAGCATCTAAAAAACTTCAGGATAAGATCCACACCTACAGCCGAAACAACTTTAATAGTTGATCCTATAGCCCGACATTTGGGATCGTCATGCTCCAATACCTTAAGAGCTTAAACTGTGAAGACTCCAGCAAACGTACGAGTATAAACTATATCAACACCGATCAATGCGACACGAATAATGGTCAACGCCGGTCAAAGCATTGTGAATGAAGGTCAACGCGTAGCCCTGGGTCAACGTCGGTCAACGCGTCGCTAATGAATGTTAATGTTGGTCAACGCGTCGTGAATGATGATCAACGTCGGCCAACGTGTTACGAATGAAGGTCAACGCGTAGCCCTAAGTCAACACTGGTCAACGCATTGTGATGGAAGTCAACGCCGGTTAACGCATGGCCTCTGATCAATTTCAAAGTTCAGATATGAATTTCTGATGAAGATAGTCAGTTCAAAGTCAACTCAACAACACGAGCTAAAACTAACTCATCAGTTTCAGTTCGAGACTACGACAACGATTAGATGATAAATGCAGTACCAGAAAATTTTTAGCTATTCGCCAAAATACTGAATAGGCTAAAAATTAAAGAAGTCAAGAACTAAAACTAATTACAGGTCCTTTTACGAATAAAGGTTAGACCTATCACATCCAAAGTATTTCGGCCTCCTCTATAAAAGAAACGAGACCGAAACACTTTGGAGGGGATATCTGTAGGCTTCTAAAAATACCTATAGGTTCCCGCACGTAGCTCGAGATAAAGAGGAGATGATGAACGTCATTATCTGAGTCAAAGAGGATTATCTAACATCAACAATCGCATGAAGTGAGTCGACAAACCGTATGAAACAACGGAACAGCAAAATAACGAAGAAACGATTCGATCGGGAGTTACGTTTCGACCGTAAAGGATGAAGCGTCACTCGTGTCTCACACATTCCATGGGTATCTTGCCAATGGAAGGTTGTAGATCATTTTGCGAGCTTTCTACCGCATCTTGAATCATTTCGTTTGGAGGTCATATGAGAGAGTTAGAGGCAAAACAGCAGAGACAATCTAACTCTCTCGGCCAAGGCCGAGACACTTCGGGTGTCTCCCAGCCTAAAAATGCTGTTTCGAAGCTGTTTCGTCCATTAACCGTCTGGATTCTTTTTCCAACTGATTTGAAGCTATCCGAGAACGTGGTAAAGTTGTTATAACTGAAGATAAGAGGGAATCAACAGTTCTTATCCGAAAACAGACTCCCGAAGCCTATAAATACAGCCCTAGGGCCTTCATTTGCACAGATCTGGAAGTCTCGAGCCTTGGCGAAGCTCTGCTGAATTGGAGACTGAAGTGCCACGAATTTTAGAGAGGAGGAGATCTTAGCGAATTCTGCGGCATAAAGAAAGAGAGTTCGACAGATCTGCAGCCCAGTTCTTCCCTTGAGATCGCACCGTTGATGTGATCTCGAGAAGAGTGGTTATCTCGCTGTTGCCGAGGCAATTGATTTGGTTTCTTAACTCCTTCGTGAGTCAACGAAATCTACACTTTGATCTGATCCGAGGTGGTCCACGGATAAACCCCGGTACCGGTAAAGATCCTACGCAAACACCAGGAGATAAACTGCTGTTGTGTTTGTTTTGACGAGAGTTGTAATTTTCCGTTTTCATTGTGTAAGAGTCTTATAAAAAGGCTAATTTTTTTGTTTTCATTGTAACGACTGAAGTTGTATTGAAAACCTCAATGAAGAAACCAACTTTCGACCAAAACAAGCCTGTTTTCCAGACATAGAATATTTTCAGCTTGTTCCAAAGTTTGGGTCTACACCCCCATAACCAACACTTAAAACATCATGTACCATGTTTTCTGACACAACAGTATCATGAAAGAAACATCCCCTTGGCCTTGAGAGTTCACGCGCTGTTTGGTAAACAATGTAGAGAATTACCATCCTTTCGGTTTAGACTATAAACAATAAGGCAATACAAAAAGACTAAGACACCATGATGTAACTTTGTCAAGCAACCAAATAACAGAGAAGAAGTCAATGGCAGTCTTATGCAAAGTGGAGAGACCTGATTCCCCAGCCGCATACAGATTCCGCCAAATTAACGAAACCGACACGTGCCAATCTATTGCTTTTGTTGCCGGTGCAGCTGATTTATGCAAATTTAGAAATGGAAAAGGAGCAGTTGAGAGTTAGAGTCGTAGTTTTCTCAACCGGCAGTTGAGCCTAAGGGGCTGTTCGTTTGGCCAAAAAAACCTGGAAATCAAAAAATAGGAAACCTATTTCCTATTATAATGGTTTTGAAGTTGTTTGGTTGGCTTAAAAAAGAAGAAAATTATAGAATAGGAGATGAGATGAGATGAGTTGTCACCTTATTATTGGATGATGTGAGTGATTTTTAAAAAAAAACTTGTTTTGAGGTTGTTTGGTTGGTTAAAAAAATAAGGAAATGAATTGGAGGTATATTATTGGATGATGTTTTGAGGTTGTTTGTGTTTGGTTCGTTTTTAAAAATAAGAAAATAGATGAGATGAGATGAGTTGGAGGTATATTATTGGATGATGTGACACGTACTTAAGGAAATTTATTTCTTGTTTTTTTTTGAGGAAATGGATGGAAGGGAATGTTTAATGAGATGAGATGAGTTGTCACAATATTATTGGATGATGTGTGTGATTTTTAAAAATGAGATAAAATGAGATGTGATGAGTTGGATGATGTGACACATTTCTTGTGTTTGGTTTATTTTTAAAGTTAAGAAAGGAGATGAAATGAGATGAGTTGGAGGATAAAAATAATATTTTATTAGATGTTGTGGGTGAGTTTTAGGGATGGAAATAGATAAAAATATTATTTTATTGATTTCCTTGTACCGATTTCCTTTTCTTGGTTTTTAGGAAACCAACCAAACAGCCCCTAAATGATGTTAGTGACTCAATGGTGAGAGTTGGTGCTGACATAGTGTACTTTTTTACATTAATTTTTTGCCATTGAATTGATAAAAGACTCTACAGAAAAACCTACAAAATCTGGTTAGAATCCAAGAGTCCTATTTCAGCAACTACAGAGATTTAAAATTTACAACTAATCAGTGTTAGGAAAATCATTAGAAACCTGCTCACATCTACTTAATGATTTTTCATGCAACTTGGTCAAATCATAGGACCTCTCCTCTGCCTTTAAAAACCCACGCTTGTTCCCACTTGCAATGATCTCAATTAGTAGCGAAGTGCAGAGCTATAAAAGATATGGGATTACATCCGTCTCAACTTGTTAGTATTTTGTTAGGCCTTTTTCTCGCCTATCAAGCTTCACATTGTTCGGCTCATCCAGTTCACAAATACTGGCCTTCTGGGGGCGCAACTCGGTACTATGACTTCAAGGTATTGCTTAATGATCATACATGTGCTTCCAGAAAATTTAAAAATCTATGTTTATCATTGGAAGAGCTTTAAGTTCAAACTCTAAATAGGAAAAAGGGTTATTTGCACATAGACCCCTGTAGTATCGGTGGTCTCCACCTTTTTTTTAGATAGACACCCCTGGTTGAAATTTTGTCTCAAATCTTATACTCCCAATAAGTCTATTTGTCGCAAAACAATTTCTCGTTCTCTGTGGGTAAAGAGTCAAAAGAAATTACTCAGGGTTCTATATGCAAAAATAAAACTAAACAAGTAGTAATTTCAAAACAGCCATTCTCTAGAATGTCCATCGGCAATTAATCCAATATAAAATAGCCTAGTTACCTATCAATCTATATATGCTTAGTCAAGGTAACAATGTCATTCGTATTTCTACATATCATCGGATATTATTATGCACTAACAATGTAATTATGTTCTGCTTTATGCTTAAAAGATACAAAGGACAAAGGTAACCAAGATTTGCAAGACTAGCGAGCTCACCACGGTCAATGGGATGCTTCCGGGGCCCGTGGTCTATGCTAATGACGGCGACCGTGTCATCGTCAAGGTCACCAATGAGACCCCCCAGAACGCCACTATCCACTGGTAAAATGCCATAATTAGACAAACGATATTGTATTACAATGAGACAAACAGCTGTTTCTAGAGATACAGAACTCCTAATAATTGTGAATTCTGCCGTTTATGTGCAGGCATGGAGTGTATCAGAGACTAACATGCTGGGCTGACGGGCCGGTATACGTTACGCAATGCCCGATTCTGGCAGGCCAGACATACACATATGAGTTCACTATCGTCGAGCAGCAAGGCACTCTCTTCTGGCATGCCCACGTGTCATGGCTCCGTGGGACAGTTCACGGTGCCATCGTCATCTACCCCAAGAGAGGAGTTCCCTACCCCTTCCCTCACCCTTATGAAGAGCGGATTCTTGTATTTGGTATCCATCCGCTAATACACATATTTTTGTAGATGTAGGCACTAATAGTATATTAAAACCTGATTGCCGTATGTGATATCATGTATAGGGGAATACTTCTTTACAGATCCCGTGCAAGTTGAGCAAGCTATACTCTTCAATGGTGGAGCTCCTCCGCGTGCCGATGCCTATCTGATAAATGGCCAACCAGGGCCTCGTTACAACTGCTCTGCCACTGGTAGTTTCGAGTGAAATATTCCATGCATGGTTGGCTATCCACTAGATAGTTGGTACATCAAAACCGATTCTTTTTTTAAAATATCTAGTAGATGAATAAGAATTGTGAGTAAGTGAAGTGTGTTTCATTTCTTTTTCATTATAAGAAAGTACTATCTATGGAATTTTAATTCGTACTCGATTTATGATTCATTATTTCGATCTCATTGGCTGCTATTCTTTATTTCCTTTTATTTTATATATAAATATATATATATATATATATATTGGTAATAGTTTCTGTTTTTGGATCATTACAAAACGAGAGAGTTCAAGAATTACTTATATAGATTCTTTGTTTGCTGTGCCAACTATCCAGTAGACAGACATAACTGTGTCATATTCGTTAATTGTGTAGGAAGTTACTGAGACTGACTAAACATTTTCTTCGACCTTGTCTCAGATGTGTACAAAGTCGACGCGATCCCGGGAAAGACCTACCTCCTCCGACTCATAAACGCGGGCCTCAACCAGGAGCTATACTTCCTCTATCGCCAGCCACAAGATAACCATCGTTGGGTCCGATGCTCAGTACACCAAACCCTTGATCCGGGACCACATTATGATCGCTCCGGGACAAACCATCGACGTCCTCGTCCAGGCAGACCAGCCCATCGCTAACTACGAGATGGCCATTGGCCCATACGTCACTGCCCAAAACGTCAGTTTCCAAAACATCTCCGCGGTAGCCCACTTCCAGTACTCTGGCGCCAACCTCAACAAGGCATCAGAGCCGGCCATCCTCCCCGCCTTCAATAACTCGCTCGTCTACGATTCTCACCTCAATGGTCTTCGTAGTCTTAGTGCCGATTATCTCCCATTAGAAATCGACACGAATCTCTTCTTCACCATCGGACTCAATATTGACCCCTGCAACCGCCCAAACCCTAGCCAGACGTGTACAGGAAACAACGGAGGCATATTTAGGGCTTCCATGAATAACATAAGCTTTGTCAACCCGAGTTTATCAATCCTCCAAGCTTACTACTTCAAAGTTCCGGGAGCGTTTAGACCAGATTTTCCGAGCAAACCGCTCAAGTTTTATAACTTTGTGTACGGAGCACCCAACAACATTCCATTCAACACGGCGGCCATGAACTCGACTCGGGTGGTGGAGCTCGAGTATGGGTCGACCGTGCAGCTGGTGATGCAAGACACTGGGACGGTTACTACCGAGAATCATCCCATTCATCTGCATGGATATAGCTTCTATGTAGTCGGGTTTGGTGTAGGGAACTATAATCCGAGCACGGCTATGTTCAACTTGGTCGACCCGCCGTATCTCAACACCATCGGTGTTCCGGTAGGAGGATGGGCGGCGATAAGATTCACTGCCAACAATCCAGGTATACAGATAAACACCTAATAGGTTATTAAACTTTTGGATTGAAATAGTTCAAGATGGAGAGAGGGTTGTATTGAAACTAATTGAAGTGCTAACTAATTGATGTGGATTGATGCAGGAGTGTGGTTCATGCATTGTCACCTTGATAATCATTTGAGTTGGGGAATGTCGATGGCTTTCCTTGTTAAGAATGGGGTGGGGCCCCTAGAGACACTTCCTCCTCCTCCTGCAGATTTGCCCAGGTGCTAGGGTTGTTATTGCAAAGTGTCGCTTAAGAGTTTTTTCATAATTTCAGGGATATGTATCTTATTTTAATTATTAGTTCCTAAGTGGTTATATTTCCTAGTTTTCTTTTGGTTGTCTTCCGTCGTGTAATGCACTCGAAAGCAAGTTATAATAATTATTACATTCTACGTGGTTATATTTCTTTTAGCATACACGAACTTCACATCTATCTCTATCCTTCTGCACTGATCAAAGAAAGTAATTAAACAAAATTTTGTTTACTTAATCCCGGCCACCATGAGACCAATATGAATGGAAGACAGTTTGTCATGAACATCTTACTTTTAACTATATATTTATCTTATTTTCGACTATTGGAGAACGGAAAGTGTTTAGATCTGTGTGAATTATGAACCCCAGTGAGACTTGATAGCGTTATAACAGTAAGAGGACATATAAAAGAAAACGTTGTTTCATTCATCAACTAGCAATGGATGAAAGGCAAGACCTGATTTCTGGTATATATGCATGACTATTTACTTCCACATGTTGTGTAAACCTTGCATCAATGTCTCTGATAATAATTTTAACACTTGAAAATTATTCTAGATTTCAGTCTAGACTATTAATACTTTTCTCAAAAGAAAAGAAAATATAATATCTTACTAATTTAGTAACAATCTGCCGCAGGCCTATTTGGCGCTTATGTCGTCTTTAACACTTATATCAGAGGCACTATATCGTCCGTAGCTATTTGAGACTCTAGAATGCGAATGGCACCAATCGCTCTAACTCTATGCATGCCTTTGTATATAGACACCGGACCTAAGTTTCCTCTAAAGTCTCTTCATTCATTAAATGCGTTCCTTCAGGTATACCTAACCAAATAACAACTCGTGTCACTTCACATAACTAAATTGCAGCGTGTAATTTATGTTCACACTTTGTTCATTCGCCTGGCATGCAGCCAAATGGACTCTCTGATTCTCGAAAATATTGTTTTTTCATGTGATCCTTATTATAGCAGTTCATCTCTCTAATTCTCTTGCAATGTGCTGTTACAACTCCTCTATACAATAAAGAACCAATTGCGTATTCAATTTCTATTTACACTAAAAAGTTTCAATTGTAGTCGGACCTGTACATAGTTTCTTTTTATATCAAAAAAAAAAAAAAAAGAAATGCAGACTTGGCGCTATTAAAGAGAGCAAACTAGATAAATTACTTTTCTAAATCATTTCTGCAAATCTTTATAGTTTCTTTTTATTCTCAAGTGTTCTATCAATAAAAGTTTCCTTTGTGTAGAGTGTTGTGTTCTTCAAATTCCATCAACCTGTACATAGTTTCTTTTTATATCAAAAAAAAAAAAAAAATGCAGACTTGGCGCTATTAAAGAGAGCAAACTAGATAAATTACTTTTCTAAATCATTTCTGCAAATCTTTATTGTAGTCGGACCTGTACATAGTTTCTTTTTATATCAAAAAAAAAAAAAAAGAAATGCAGACTTGGCGCTATTAAAAAATTCCTCACCAACTTAGATTATTCTAGAACAACTTTCTAGAACTTCTTTCTAGTAACATCCTACAAAATAATCTACCATGAAGTTTCTAGAAGATACAAGTGTATGGCTAGTATTTATTCTTCTAGAAACTTCTTAGTAATGTATGGCTAGATTAACTCTTCTACACACTTCCTAGCCCTCTTAAACAACTATAAATAGGGTCGTTGTGCTCTCCATTTAAGCAAGCAAGCAAGCAAGAAGTGAGCTTGAGAGCTTGAGTGTGTAGTGTAGCCTTGTGTGAGTGTCCACCAAAATAAGGAAATTGTGTGAAAGTGAGGTGTCTTTGAGAGATCAATGTTGTGTCTTCAAGTGTGTCTATCAATAAAGTTTCCTTTGTGTAGAGTGTTGTGTGTTCAAATAAGCCATCAAAGTGGTGTGGTTAGCTAGAGCAGAATTCGAGTCTAGCGGCAATCGAAGGGCTCGTGTACGAGATGGCGAACATGATCCAGCCACAGATTCCGAAGCTGATGAAGACAATGCGACAACTGGAGTATCCAGATGAAAGTCTTGCTCGGCTCGAGCACTTGTGGATCTCGTAGAGAATGGCTACACTGAACCGGAGTCACCTGCAGCAGAAGCAACTCTCACCGCACTCAGAAGAGTAAGTTGAAGAGCGTCAGAAAAAGAGACAAAAAAGCTTTGTTCCTAATATTCCAAGGCGTAGATGAATCTGCGTTTGAGAAGCATTTCCAATGCCTGTCCTCTAAAAAGCATGGGAGATTTTACAAAAATCCTATCAAGGTGCGGAAAGAGCAAAAAGGTAGCGCCTCAAGCATTAAGAGTTGAATTTGAAAATTTGAAATGAAAAGCTACAGAATCAATATCGGATTATTTTAGTAGAGTTCAGACAATAACAAATCAAATGAAGAGAAATGGAGAACAGATTAATGATGTAAGAATTATGGAGAAGATACTTAGGACTTTAGACTCTAAATTCAAATATATTTATTCCGGCAATACAAGAGTCTAAAAGATCTTTCCGAAGTATCTATTGCATGAGCTGCAAGGTTCTCTGCAAGCTTATGAACAAATATAAACATTATTCAAATCAAGCGGAGAATCTAGAAACAAGCCTTGGCAGAGTAAGATGACTATCAAGAAGATAGTCGAAGAGGAGCGTGGAGGCTACAGAGGCAGAGGCTCATTTCGAGGTGGCGCAAACTTCCAGCAAGGTCGTAGGAGACAGTACCAAGGAGGCCATGAAAATCAAGATCGAAATAGAGATCGTGAACGATCATTCGATCGAGGACGAGGTCGTGGCAGCACGAGACGAGGACAAGGAAGAAGTTACCATGAGGACAGATCTCAACCACAGTGTTACAAATGTAAGAGATACGGTCATCTCAGCTACGAATGTTGGAGAAATCAAATCAAGTGCAGAAAGAAGTAACTTTGTAGAAAGAGCAGAGGCAGGACACTTCAACAGTCCTGCTGATATACAGGAGAGCGAAAGCAAGAATAAAGATATCTGGTATCTAGATTCAAGGTGCCAGTAAGCACATGTACGGCATCAAGGAGTTCTTTACCGAGCTGAACGAGATGGTACAAGGAGAATGTCACTTTTGGAGATCAGTCAAAGATTCCAGTAAAGCAAGGGAAATATAATGATCCAGACAAAGACGGGCAGAAACAGGTACATCTCTGATGTCTACTATGTTTCCAGCATTACGAAATAATATTTTGAGCCTAGGCCAGCTCCTTGAAAGAGGCTATGATATACATCTAAAAGACCTTGCCCTCACCTATTAAAAATAAAAATGAAAGTTATTGTAAAGGTGAACATGTCTAGAAATAGACTGTTTACCGTTAAAACATGTCATGCTGACCCTGTCAAGTGCTTGAAGTCAATCATAAAAGACGAGACTTGGCTCTGGCATCTACGATTCAGGCATCTCGCTTTCAGTGGCCTGAATCTTCTATGGAAGGAGAAAATGGTAAAAGGATTGCCGCAAATCAAACCATCCGAACCAAGCTATGTGAAGGTTGTATGAAGGGCAAACAACATAGAAGAAGTTTCGAAGTTTGGAATCAAGAAGAGCAGACAGATTGTCTACAATTGGTCACCACAGATATGCAGACCATTTGAATCATCTGCTCTTGGAGGAAACAGTATTTTCTACATTTATTGATGCATATAGCAGACAAAACTTGGGGTTTAATTTCCTGAAGCGAGAAATCGCGAAGCTCATGGAGAAATTCAAAAAAGAATTCAAGGAGATGGTAGAAAAGCAAAAGTGGGTACCACATCAAGTGCTCCGATCAGATGGAGTGGAGATAACTTCGAAGGCACAACAAATTCAAATAACAAGCATACGGGAATATTCATCAACTCACGCCCCTACACACCACAGCATAATGGCCATAGCCACAGCGAAAGAATCTACATTCTTAGTATGGTCAGAAGCAATCTTGAAGAGCAAGTACCTGCCAATAAGACTTCACTGGGCTGAAGCCGTGGACGTCCAGTTTACCTCCATCAACAGATGTCCGACAAAGAGCGTGCAAGTTCCAGGCACACCATTGGAGATGGTGGGCCACATCAAGCAGTGTCAACCACCTGAAGTGTCTTGGGTGTATGCATATGCACAACATCCCGGACAGAAAAGAAAGAATTGGACGATCGCAGGAGAAGTGCATATTCGCTGGTACCGAGCAGGAGGACAAAAGCATACAAGCTCTACAATCCAGTACAAGAAGATGATCATTCAAGAGACGTGAGGAGTTCGATGAGAAGATTATTAAATGGCCGAGCGAAGCATAAAAATATTAAAGGTATGTTCTTATGAAGATAAGAATGATGATGACTTGCCAGGAGGTTAAGGACCGAACAAAGCTCACTAATAGTCCAAGCTCCATCAACGCCAACATCAACGCCGACACTCATCCAGCTTCAAGTGAGCAAGTCTTGCAAGGGGAGCAACAAGGAGTGATTGAGAAGCCTAAGACTATCTGTTTACTGACGATACAGAGCCTGTCGAATGATGCGATACTACACACTATTCTGCTTTTGCCAGAATGTGATCCGTGTCAGTATGAAGAAGCGCTCAGAAGATAAGTGAGAAAAGCCATGGATGACGAGATCAGCAACCAAAGAAATGACCACATGGAGATCACTACCTTACCTGAAGCCATAAACCAATCGGATAAGGGGTGGTACAAGACAAAAGACAAATCAAATGCGGAATCAGAAGTACCAAGGCAGGCTTTGCCAAAAGGCTATAGGTCAGCGAGAAGGAGTTGAGCTATGGGGAAGAAGTGTTCGCACCAGCGCGCAGGATCGACACCATCCGACTCATTATCGATTGGCAGTCACAGAACCGTGGAAGAGTTTCTACCAGATGACGGGAAGTCTGCATTCCTGAACGCTACTTAGAGAGGTCTACATCAAGCAACCACCAGGGCTACGAGTGAAGAATCAAGAACAAAGTCTACAAGCTGAAGAAGGCATTGTAGGACTGAAGCAAAGCGCCAGAGCCACTGGAATGCCAGAATCAGGCATACTCCAGAAAAGAACGGATTCATCGGAGCCCGTATGAGCACTCTCTCTTATACCAAGAATAAGATGAGACATCCATGATCGTATGTCTCTACGTGATCACATGATCGTCACCGCAAGCAATCCGAAAATGTTCGAGGCAGTTCACAAAGAATATGC